TTAACACTAGGTAATAAATGAGTTGCAACGGCTTTATAATAAATATGTTTGCAACCACTTATGAAGAAAGAGAATAATTTACTCTAAATTGTTGAATATGTTTTCAAGCACTTTATAAAAATGTATTTAAGTGTGCATAAAATCAATGGTGTAAAAGTATGTTGGGGCAGTGTGATGCCGATGAATGATGAATACTCAAGAATGTTTATAATAGAGCTCATCTTGCACGTATTAAGGAGACGGGGAAACTGGGCGCAAGCGCGCAAGGACGACGAGCAGGCGCGTCATTGAGGACCACGAACGCAGCCGAAGATAGCCCGAGCGACCGCGTGCACAACAGAGCGTCGTGCAAGCATACCAAAGTGACACCCATCGCGACCTAACATAGGCCGCAGTAGCCCAAGGCCTAGCGCTGCGAGAAATGCCATGCTGTGTCACGACAACACGGCGAGAACCAAGGTTTCTCTACAGTTTTATTATTTACTAAGTATGATTTGTTAATTTATATTCCTTTGAATATTTGGTGCAATTTTGTAGTTTTCATTCTTTAAAATTCTTGTACTCTTCTTCTGGAAAAACATATGCAATAAGATATCAAAACCGCTCGCGTTCGAATACAAATCTCGTATTAACCGACAGCCATCAATGCGAGTTTTCACAAATTTGAATCTATCGATACATGATCTTCATCATTGGTACTTTTATTAAGAGAATCGATTGTGTATCATCATGTCGAACAGAGAGAGGATCGATCGATTGGAAAAGAGTGTACTTTCAATCAACGATGACGTACAATCATAAATCAAGTGGCAACAAGGATTGAGCGAATGCTGCTCCAAATCGTCAGACGGTGAGCACGGAGGGGCGACGACTCGAGTCATTCATTAGACGAATCACCCGATTCGAAAAAGGACCTTGAGTTTCATGATGAGTTCGCGAAGGACGATGCTAATCGTTCATGGGGCTCGAATTGCCGAGAAAGGCGCAGGAACAAGAGGCCAAAATTGATAATACCAACGTTTAACGAGATGGGCCCGGATTCTTGGTTGGCCCTTCCAATGAATATTTGGAAATCAACGAAATACCAAAAGTAGAAAGGGTTAATTTCGCAGCCTACCATCTCGATGGGGAGAAGAACATATGGTGACAGTGGTTATCGATGGGTTACAAAAAATTAGGATGCCCGTACTGTTTGAAATTTTTCAAAAAGGAGTTGATTAAGCAGTTTAGGTTGTCAGATTACCATGATTACGACGAAGCCCTATCGCATATCAAACAAGTGTGAAGTTTACGCAAGTACCAAAAGTAGTTCGAACGAATCGTGAGTCGTGTTTGTTATTGGCCAGAAGGACAATTAATTGTGGGCTTAAAGCCTAATTTGGCTGCTGAAGTGAGACTGGAGAGATCGAAGACAATGCGTACCACCATGGAGGTCGCACGCATGCGAGAGGACTACCTAGCTGCTGTGCGTAAGGCCCATCAGCCGGAGGTGTGACACCCATGCCCATTTTCCACTGACGCACAGAGGGCCGGAGATGGAATACCGGCGGGAAGCGTAAGGCCGATAGACTCGAGAGTTATATGGCTATCTTGGGATGAGATGCAGCGACAGGAGAAGGGATATGTTTTAATGGCAATGAAAATTTTGCAGCAGGTCATAGGTGTAAGAAAAAACACTCGTTTCTAATTGAGTTTATGAAATCTGACAAGGAAGAACAAGAAGAAGGAAAGACAAAGTAACATATGGATCTACAAGAGGACGATATGGAGATCTCATTTCACGTGATGGCTAGGATGCAAGGGTCGAAGACCATGAAGTTGTCGGCATGGTTTTGAGATCGACGAGTTGTGGTACTGGTCAATAACGACTCGTCCCATAATGTCATCAACTCTGTGTTGTCCAAGAAATTGAACCTGCTAGTGACTCACGTGGAATTGTTTTACGTGATAGTCACTAATGACTACATTTGAGGTGCCATAAAATTCTTTGGTGTAACCGCAAGAGTAGATCTTTATGCATTGCCGCTAGTATGGCCAGATGTGGTGCTGGGTGTTGAATGGGTAGAAGAGTTAGGTCCGGCTATGACAAACTATAAGGTTGGGACTATGAAGTTTCATTGGGGTAACAGATTGGTCTAAATAAGGGTCGGAGTTAGCTAGGGAGCCTAGTAAGCGAGCCTGAAATGCATGGAGAAATTGTAGAAACGCGACAGTTAATTCTTTGCTGTGAAGGTGGACAATCAAGACGTGGCGACCGATCCAACCACGCTGCATCACCAGAAGATCACAAAATTGTTGCAGCAATTCGAGGAGGTATTGACTGACCTATGGGTCTTCTCCCACGAAGGGCCTTCGACCACCACATTCCCTTGAAGGATGAAAATCAGGTTGTGTATGTCCACCCATGGAAGTATGCTCACTTTCATAAGATTGAGATCAGAAGGCAAGTTCGTGAGATGATTTAGGCATGGATATTGAGGCATAGTACAAGGCCATTTTCATCACTTGTGTTGTTCGCTAAAAAGAAAGACGAAACTTGGAGATTCTATACGGATTATCTGGCACTTAACTCTGCAATTATAAAGGACCGTTTTCCATCTCCCAATATTGATGATATGCTGGATGAACTGGGGAGATCACGATATTTTTCTAAGCTGGACCTAAGGGTCCGATATCATCAGATAAGAGTATCAAATGCAGATATCCCGAATACGATGTTTTGCACTCATCAAGGACACTACGAGTATTTGGTAATGTCGTTTGGTCGATGTAATGCCCCTTCGAATTTTCAATTTTCCATGAATATCATTTTTCAAGAATTCTTGTGCAAATTCGTCTAGGTGTTCTTTGATGATATACTGATTTATTCAAAAAAACTGGGATGAGCATCTTGAGTACTTGAGGTTGGTTTTGAGGATTTTGGCGAAGAGTGCTTTTCATATTAAACTGTCCAAGTGTTTGTTTGGCTAAGGTGCAATGGAATATTTGGGCCACATAATTTTCCATAAGGGGTGTGAGGATAGATCCCAAGAAGATTGAGGCGACGTAGAATTGGCAGAAACTGAGGAGTTTGGCAAAACTGCAGGGATTCTTGGGGCTAACGGGCTACTACCGAAAATTTTTCAAGGACTATGGCTCGATAGCCAAGCCAATGACATACATGACAAAAAAAAGGGTTAAAGTGGCAACGGCGAGTGAGAAGGCATTTGATCAGCTCAAGTGGGCAATGACTACCACTCATGTTCTAGCAATATCGAGATTTGATTTCATCTTTGAAGTTCACACCGATGCGATAGACATTGGGATTGGGGTCTCACGCAAGAGAGCCGACCAATTATATAATTGAGTAAAGCTTTAGGCCGTATATGTGTCTCATGGTCGCTCTACGTGAAGGAAATGTTGTCCGTGGTGGAAGCGGCGCGAGTCTGGAGGCCCTATCTGTTACGGAGACACTTGAAGAGTGTGACGGACCATCAACCACTCAAGGATCTTTTAGAACAACGTATAGTGATGCTGGAGCAGCAAAAAATTGCGTCCAAACTGATGGGGTTCGACATTGAGAATAACTATCAGTCGGGGTGCCAAAATGGCAGACGCTCTATAACGTCGCACCGATGTGGACGGGCTGCAAGCTATTTTTGAACCGACATGGACTATTTGGGATCATCTATGGGAGGCTCACATCCAGGACACATTCTGTAATGAGGCCCAACAGATAATGGAAGGCACAGACGAGGTGGCTCGATTCTTTAACATTTATAGTGGGCTACTGCTATTGAAGGGGATATTATATATACCGGAGCCAACCAATTGAAAACCACAATCATAAGGTTTTCCATGAGTCGAAGATCGGAGGACATTCGGGCGTCTATCGCACGTGGGTGTGAATAGCCAACACTTTTATTGGCCAGGACAGAAGAACGAGGTATAGTACTATGTGGCAAAT